ATCTCCCTCTCTGGTGTTTTGCCAAGTAATTCTGTGGAGATTAAAGTTAGTCCAGGGGGTGTCTTTGGGCAGGGTGCTACCTGCTTCCTTCTAATTTATAAAAGTTCTGAGTTTGGAACTGCCCCATGCCTTTGTAGTTTTGAGATCACAGATGTAACATAAGGGAAAAGAAAGACACAGCTCTTTTACTGATCAGAAAATGGATGTTACTGAAGTCAGAGAATGCCATAACACAAAACGTGTTAGAAAGTGCTGGTTCAGAAAAGAAAGATCCAATCTCATGGTTTTGTGGGTGTCTGTGTTTCTGGAGCCTCTGTGCTTTCAGTTATACTGGGGAGGGAAACTGTGAAAATACTTGAAAAGTTGCTTCATTTTTCTCCCAAAGTGTATTAAAATTGTAGTTATATTTTTCCCTGATTCACTAAGTTTAATATGACTTTAAATTAGGTAATTCATTAGATACTACAGAAGGAGCTAAAGTGGTTTTCCAGACTTGTTTGAAAGAAAAACTGAATATTGCTGTTGGTTTTTAGCATGCTCAAGGATAGGGGTGGGATGCTTTATAAACTCTAAATTAAATAAAGTTCCTGTGGTAAAATAAATTTGTTTTTTAATTCTGATCAGCAGTATGTAAAAGAGAAATGGGGGAGATGATTGGTTAGTGAGGGAACAGAATGAAATAAAGACATTTATCTGATTGCCTTGACACATGTTGTTATTCACTGTACTCATGAAGAGTATTTGAACAGAAACAGATACATGTTCTTGTTACTGAAGGCAGCCCTGTGTATTGGAATGATTTTAAATCGTGTGAGCAAGAAAACAAAGACAAGAGAACTTTGCTGGCAATATATTGATGCTGAGACTTTCTGTGGAAATGCTGGAATCTGCAGATCTGCCACAGTATAAGGCTGGAATTACTAAGAACTTTGAAGGTGAAAATAGGCTTTAGAAAATGAAAGTTGAGTCTAAAGGAAAGCAGTAATACCTTCATATTGGGAGTAATTTTGTCCCTTTTATTCCTAGATGAAAACCTGAGAATATTCAATTTAAGTAGCTTCCAAGTAATCTATAAAATAAATACCTCAGTGATATTGTAGTTCTCCTTCACAATAAACATTGCAGACCTATGGCACCATGCTTGAAAAGAAAACAAACAAGTTTTGGGCTACATTAAAATCATCTGAAAGACAGGTAATTATCACCTGAATATGAAAAGAGGATCACAAGATAAGTGCAATATACATGTGTGAGCCTACAGTGTTTAGTATTTGTTATAACTATTCCATTTGTAAAATTATTTTTCTAAAGTATATTCTGATTATAAAAATTTATTATTAGGATAGCCCTACTTTTACTCTATTTTCACACCATTATTATAAAAAAAATAAAATTCTATGGTAGCAGAAAGTTCTGTGCTGGTTTACTTGTGCAGAAAAGATTTTAAATGGTTTTAAATTCCTTCTGCACTACAGGGTTTGTTGGATTTTTTTGTTGGTTGATTTTTTTTACATTCTCTTGTTCTTTAAGTGATATTTCATCACTTCTACATTATTCTGCAAAAGAAGAATAATAATCCACAGTATAGTCCATGTAAGACATTAGAAAAAGTTTTATTATTGCTAAAAAGCAGTGCACTAGAAAAAGAGTAAAAACACCAAGGTCACTAACTCAGCTTTATTGGTGTATAGCCCCAGATTGTTGTCAAAGGAACCTTTATTGTTACTATACCTTAAACATATAATATGCATATTGGATGACCAGCATCCCCTCAATAAATTCCAGTAATCAAAAATTTGAGGCCCAGCAAAATGAGAGAGAGAAAGGAAATAAACAGAGCAAAGTGTGTGTTACTTGCATTGCATATCTGCTTGCAGGATGGGGGAAATAATGAAATTGTGGTAATGTATTGTTTCCTCTCTACTAACATTGTCTGTGTGTTCTGTCCTCAGAAATGTCATTAGTTGATGTTGGCTTCTGGTTCTTATTTGTATAAATATCTTAGACACTACCTGTCTTTTCAGAAGAAGTTAATTACTTAGGTGCATTTTAGTAACAAGCTTGAAATAACTCATTTAGGAAAAAATATTGATTTATTTAAGGAAAACCTTCCATCCTGGCATACTTATCTGTACAAGCATATATGGTTTTACAGTATTTAACTCAGTCCTGCAGTAGCATTTTAATTCATTCTTCATCAGATGTTCACGTAATTTTCCTGATAAAGATATAAAAAGTGTCTCCTTTTCATCTACTATATAATGTGATATTTTTACAACTTTTTAATGCAGAAAACTGAAAATTTGTTTTTACAGTCATATGCATATATTTTTTAAGTGTCTCACATCAGTATAGGATCTGAATTTCTCTCTCTATCTCCTCTCCCTGAACTTGTTCCTTTAAGTGCTGCAAACCAAGGACTATCTATCACTGTATGGCAAGCCTGAGAGGAGTGCAGGAATAAGCTATGAGCCTGATGTTGCTATGAGACTCCTGGAAGGTCTTCTCATGCTAATTTGGAAAGAAAATATAATTTTTTTCAGAAATAATTAATATATATCCTCTGTAGGTCTGTGAGCATGTTTGAAAACAAAAGTGCTGCTGCACGTGGAGCAATATAATAATCTAGTACTGTTGCCTAAGTTCAGAGAGAGGTTTTGAGTGGATTTTTGTGATGTGCTTTTGGCAACATTATTGGTACAGAACAAAGGACTGGAGAATCAGAACACTGAAGAAAAAGAGCAGGGAAATAGAATTTTTTTTATTGGTCAAAGGTCACTTTAAAGAGATGTTGGACTAGGCTGAGGGAACATAAATAGGGATATGAAGCTATGTTAGGGGAAGAAATTCTGAATAAATGTTTATAAATAGGTAATTTAGGGACTGAAATAGTCCACTGGAGGTGATGAAGGAGAAGGAGCTTTTGGACTCCTTACTTTCCACTGCAGCCTCTTGCCATGGAGAGGCCTGCTTTACCTTCTGCCCTGTACTGCAGAGGTGAGCTGTGAACCATGCTGCTGCTTTATTTCAAAAACTTATTATTCATACCATGTGACTCATGCCAGCTGTAGGAGTTGAAGGGATTACCATTGGAGCAGCATGAATTCCTTGTCCTGTGTGTGTTTTGAAATACAACATATTTTTGGGTTTTAGAGATCTGAGTTAAAGTTCACTTTTTGCTGTAGAAAGACAGAAGTTATTACTAAGCAACCTTAACTCTGTGCTTATGACATTTTTATCTGTGTATATTCAGATTCCATACAAAACAATAAAATGCTGTTTAGATTTAGTTCACCTAAACCTATGGGATACCCTGGGAATTTTGGGGCATTTCTTCATCTGCATCTTGAGAAGTTTCATTGCACATTTTTTCTGTTACAAATTTCCAGCATTTTCCCAGTCAGGGGAGTTTTGGTTTTGTACAAAAAAATAAAACTTTTGTGGAAAGGTAGGAAAGAAACCATAATTTTCTATAATACAAAAAAGATGAAGACTGTCAGTGTGTTGCGTAAGGGAAGCCCCATCTTCAGTCTTCATCTAGCTGAATGTGTAACCAGCATTTTGGTGAGAGTCTGAGGGTTAAAGATGGGTGGTTTTCCATCATATTGTTTTACTGAGTGTTATTAAAGTAATTGCAGTCAGAATGAGTACAATAGAAATAGTCTTCAATAACAATGAGCAAGACTTGGAATTTTTCTGGATTTTGTAGGGTTTTCTTCCTAGAAGGATTAGTGGGGTTTCCATGACCCAAACTCAGGTGCTTTTGTCTTCTTCTTGCATGATGCTACTTTAAATTAGGTTTTTTCAAGCAATCTCTTTTTAGTAATCATTTTCATATCTCTTTTTAATTTTTTATCACACTTCTCCAAATAATTTTTATAGTGTTTTAAGTACTTTGACTGTCTACAGCTGTACTACCAGAAAAGAAGTCATTGTAAGTTGCTTAACATTCAGTGAAAATAAAAACTATGTAAAGAAAGAAAAGACATAGTTTATGTTGCATGATCAAAAGTTACTAAATTGCCCTATAGTTCCCAGAAGTTAAAATAAATTCTGCAGTCATGCAGCTGTCTATGTAGCTCCCAGCATGCTGGAAACATAAACAGATCTTTCCAGCTTAGCTGTAAAACTACTTTCACAGAAACAACGGCTAAATAGGACACTGGTACAGACTGCAAGCAAGGAGTTCTTGCAGTTGTCTCCCCTTTACACATTTTCCAACATGCAATGATTTGCCTTCCCCAGCTATGAGATAAGTAAACACTGATTTTGACACAATAAAACTTTGAACTGATTTGTGACTCATCCCTGCATTAAAGACAAAGAGTGTTTTTCTCCTCTTCTTGTCCACCCTCCATCGGATACATCTGAGAAATTCTATTTAACATCAGCTGAAATTACTGAAAGCTCTTTGGTTAAATTCAGGAGTTGGATCAAGCAGGTTTTGTCTTTGAACTATGCTCTGAACAGAAGAATTTTTTTCCTTTGCCTTGGCATTAAATGAGATATAACCTATTAATTTTCCACAATCAAAGCAGTGAGAGTATTAGCATCAAAAGAAATCGACAAATAATAAATTATTCTTCTTCAAACTGATTTCCTTTACACCTGATCTTCTATAAGGCAATACTGCATGTACATGCTAGAATAGTAGACAAGTCTTTACAAGATTGCAGCCTGATCTCTCAGTTTTGTTATCTGTATTCTAAAATTTTATTTATGATATATTGTGAATTGTTTACACATTCCACTGAGGTTCCACAAATTAGTGTTTATTATTTATTAAGGATATTTTCCTTAATATTGTTAATATATATGTTAATTATTTCCTGTAATATTTAATATCCTTAATCTGCATACACTGCTCTTTATAACTACAGTTTCATTAACAAAGTGGGGAGAGAATGTGTTTGTACCTGCATGCAGCTTTTTAATCAGTAGCTTCTCTCTTTCTCCTTTAACTTTTCTAATATGGCTTATTTATTAATAATCCTTTACAGAAAAAACAGAGAACGAAGGATCTGTCCCAGCTGTTTCATTCATACAACCCATATGATCATAAGGTAAGGAAAAAATGTACTATCTCAGTTTGTTGTTAAGAAAAACTCCAAACATTTGTGGTAACTATGTTTCTTGTTTAATGCAAAGTTGAGGAGAAATGATAAAATTGAAAGTGCTAAGCTTAAATTCTGCTGTCACATAAATATTTCTTTGTTTCTTTAAGCCAAGCTTGAAAAGGTGCATTTTCTGATTTGTGAAACCAATGGCTCACATTAACCTCGTAGAAATATAATTTATAGACTGGCATTACATCCTGCAAAGTGACCACATGTGGTATTGGATTCCCCTCTTTTTTTTCCTCTGTGTTTGGGAACTGTGTTACCCTAGAGTATGTTGCTTAGCCTGTTGTGTCAATTAGGCCCTGAGATACATGATACTAATGAATTATCTATTGATCACAAAAGCATCGTTCAAAGACGCTGCTGTGTGAACAGCCTGGTGGTTGTCTGGGGGAAGAAGTAGAAACATCCATCATTATAACTTGTTTGTAACATCTGGGGGAAAAAAAGAGGGTCCTTTCTCATTGCAATGTGAAATAAAAATAATAAAGTTGTTACAAGAAGATTTTGGAGAACCAAGAGACAGAGATCACAGTATTTCTGTGCTATAGCTATGTCATGGGGTTCTTCTGGATGTTATCAGAAGAGAGCATTAAGCAGCAGACTGAAGGAATGTTGAGTAGGTTTTAAAATATTTTCATGGTGTTCCTCCTATCTCTGATGCCTCTGTGGGCATATTCTTTTAACAAGTGCACAAAACCGTTTAAAAATTTGTCAGCAGTATGAGATGTCTGTCTTTGCTGCTTCTGTTTTGAGAAGTGTGAGTGATTTTGCAAGTATCCATTAAAACAAAGGAAGATTTGAAACATTTCTGTTGTTGCTGTTGTTGTTGTTTAGACATTGCAAAGGAAAGTTCTGAACTCTTATCTCTTCTTTTCCTGGCCATTTACCAAATACATTGGAAAAACCAGCTAGATTTTATATTTGGGAGAAGAAGGTGGCAGAAGTCTGTACCTCTTTGTAGGAAGACATGCACATATGTGCAATATATGTGTAACTGCACATATGTCAATGAGAAACGCAGTGTGTAAATGAATGGATGAAATTTATCAGGCAGGTTGTTGCTGGGAGAGTTCTGTAGTTACCGGCCACTTGAAAATTTAGTTTAAAAATACATTGTAAAATAGCATTTATATTCTATAGCTTTAATAATTGTAGCTAATTTCAAGTTAAATTCATCTCTGCTTAGTACTTCTTTTATAAATAGTCTCACATTATTTACAAAGATTGGTGAAGCTGATATTAATGGCCTGTGAAAATGGCCTTAATGGAGAAACATGAAGAATAAAGGAAACTAGTGTGATAAGATTTTGAATGGAATTGTTGCTCCTTTGAATTGAAGCATTTTAAGGTAAATGTAATAGTAAGTCAATTAAGATCTAATAAGGCGATGCAACTGGTGAACAAGAAACTTTGATATTCCTGTCCATGTCTTAATTCTCCTGTACAAAACACTTTTTATTCATAGTACAAGGAAATTCCATTATTCTTTTATTAGCACTTTTAATGGAACTTGGTCATTTGTAACTCCTGCTGTCTTCCTGCTCATATCCTTTGTGGCATTATATCAAAGTATTCTCAAATGATTTTGGCTGCAGTTGTGAGGACTTCTGCACTCTTTACAAATTAGTCATCACACAATGTGGAATGGAATATAAATGCTTAAATATATTTGCTTTTGATCTTTGTTTTAGGACCTTTAATATATTATTAAGGTAGTACAATTGTTTGATAGATGATTTTTTTTTACCTCCACTCTTTTGTTGCTTCCAAGCATACCCTGTATATATATCTGAGAATACAAGTGCAGGGGAAAGGACAAGTGAAAGTTTGTATTAAAGTTATGGTCTTACCATATTTTCCATTTGACAGTGAAGGTTTTCCTTCTCCCAACTACTTCCTATTTGTAGGCTACAACAAGCTCACTGCAGATTTCTTGCTCTGTGCTTTTAATTTCCACCTCAGCTTCCTATTTCACAAGTGTTGCGGTCTAAGGGAGGGCTTTTAATTTTTGTATTAAATCTAACATTAGTTGGGAATACAGTTGTTTCTACTGGAAGTGTGTGTTAGCTTTGCTCTAGTTCTGTTTTGTTTGATTTATATGGCCAAAGGATTTGAGGGCAGAGCAGGGGCACATGTTGTTTGCTATTTTGTAGATTATTTTCAGGAAGTGTTAGAAGGAGATTTCACAATGGCTTTGTGAAAGCGTTGGTGATGCAGGATCATGGTAGGAGTGATTGGAATTAGTGGCTTCCAAGATTATTTCTTTGTTGATTAAACGATTTTTCTCTGAGAACCTTTCTAAACTAGAAGAAAAAACTTAAGGGTAAGTTGGTGCTTAGTAGTAGTAGTTAAAACAGATGTGAAAATCTCATTGACTACAGTGGCTGAAACAGGACTTGCTACAAAGATTCGACAGTACTTCATCTTTTTAGGATGGGATATCTCATAGTAAGGAGAAAAATTAATCAGAAAAGCAGAAATTGTTCATTCTTCCATGCTCGCATTTCACTCACTAAAGCAGAAAGTGATGTTTTGATTAAGTAGCTATACTAACCTTACTAACCTTGTTACTATTTATCCATGGTCAGGAGGCCAATAGCTCTTAGCTCCTGTTCCCCTGAAAATGTTACCTCAATATACATTTGCCAATCTAGTGTAACGTAGAGCATCCTGAAAGACATTTAAATGCTTGTGGTTCTTAATTCCCAGATGAAAACGCAGCACTTTTATAGAGGTGGAAACAAGGATTTACTTTCCTTTCCACTTCCAGGTGTTGAGTTTTATCTTTTATTCAATGAGGCCTTCATTCAGCAGCAAAGGAGGCAGAGCTTTCAAATTCCTCCTGCAGAAGAAATGAAAAAGCAGGAGATACTCTGCTGATACCAGGGGAGAATTAGCTGAGCTCCTGTATTCTTTAAATCCTAAACAAGTATGAATTACCATCTAGTTGTGCTTGTCATTGTTCAGATGAAACCATTCAACAGCAGATTTCAAAAACTGCCCATTATATACTTCTCCTATCCAGGCAGATTTGATCCTGCTCTCTTTAACCTAGTGTTACTGAAATGCTTTACAGAGCCTCTGACTACAGAACCTGCAGGTCTTTCAGATACTGTGCCACAGACAAAGCTCATTTTAGCATCAGTCTTTAATGCCTAGCAAATATCTTGAATTCTTCATGTCAGGCACATACAAAGAACTGCCTTTTCTCAGTTTTTTCTTTTGTTGTTCTTAAAATAAGTATCTTCTAAAATTCATTCTTTTCAGAACAAAATAATTACTTAGGAAATGCTGAGCAATATCTCGTTCCAGGTGCGTGATTGCCATTTATTCAAACTTATTTCAGTTAGCATGTGTAAAAATACATAGCACTCTTTGTAGATGAAGCCATTCCTGGTTCTGAAATACTTGCTTTTTCATGTTTATGTAGAGTAAAAATATGTATGGTCTGGCTTTCTTGAGAGTCGAGTTCTGATTGCTGTGTAACTCTTCTCTGTTTTATATACAGTTAATCTTTTTCTAGGACCATCAGAAAAAGATGATAAAATTGACATCCTCAATAAAGCTTTACCAGCAACAGCTTTACTGTTTTAAAATGTAAAAGTAGATAATTGAGAAGCTATATTCTTGCTAGTTTCCTGCAAACTAATCTTAATGAAAGATTATGTTTGCACACAAGTAATTTCTGCTGAATGTTTTTTGTGTGTACACTGTGAGGTTTCACTTTTCACACAGTAAGAATTTTATTCTGTCTGAAGTAGATGTTTAACTCAGAAATAATGGAATTGGATGTCTCTCTGAAATAGCCCTTGCTCTTTATGATTTGTGAGCCAGTTTTTTTTGAAGCTGCTAAAGTAGTTATTAAAATAGTTTACCTGGTCAAAACAACATGTTTTATAAGCTTAATAGGAGTTTCAGGATCCAGTATGCACCTAATGGCCAAATTCAGAAGTGCAGAACCCTTGTTCCTTTTCATTTTGTCAGATGAGTTTAAGCATTCAGTATAGCCCTGGAGTGGTTGTTTAAAACTATAATCCTCAATTTTTGCTCTGCAGAAGAACGTTTTTACATATTGTAAGCACAGTATATCAGAACTACTACACATTTTGCTGCTTTGCTTTCTTGGGAGGATACCCAGGGATACCTTAGGGCATGTCCGTACACGCCTCTGGCAGCACGGGCTGTTACACTGAGAAATGCCCTGAGAGTTGTGCTTAAAACTCAGCTCCCTTTTTGCTTCTGCCTTTTTCAGCCTGAATCTCTTGCTGTACAACATATATGAATAAATATATGAAAAAATAAGGTCTTGTCTTGTAGTTTTAGAGATTTATTTTAGCATATACTGTGTCCCGCCCAGTAAGAAATATAGTCAACACTCACATGATTTGAAGAGTTTTTTGAGAGATTTTCTCCCAAACTGAAGGTGTGCTCAGGATTAAAAAATTTAGTTGTTATTTCAAAATGTGCTGTAATTGATGAAGTTCTGCTAAAATAATTGTAAAATCTTTAAACCTCATTCTTCTAGTGTTCTTTATTAATGTGTTCTGGAAATGCTAAAACACTCAAAAGAGCAAAACCCCCTAGACAATACCTGTGTGTTTGGCAAGTTATATGGATCATTGCGTATTGTGATACGCAATTAAGTGACAAAAAAGATTTTCTTGGTTTTTGGGTTTGTTTTTTTTTTTTTGTCAGCTCTTAGCCTCATAAGCAATTTTGGAAAGCAGGAATTTATGTCCTGTTGTCTTTGATAAGGGTCGATATGTGCATAACTCACTCAAGGAACATTATTAACAAGATTATAACAAGGCTATGCTTAAGGTACTAATGGCTGCTGCCACTTAGAGACCTATAGTGTTTTCAAACAATTATTTCAATAACACACAGACCCTATGCTTAGTGGAAAATAAAGAGTCTAATATCAGTTTCCTTAAACTGAG